TCGGGGATGGACGCCTGGAGCTGTCCCCCGAGGCCGTTCCAATGACTTCCCCTATTTCAGGGCAGATTCTGCCCCCCCTTGCTGTCTACTAAAAGAAATACTCGCCCTCCATGTAGTTTTACTTCCTCAGTGCAAGGCCAGGTGAAATGACAGAAGCCAACTAGCTCGGGGCACAGAGACCTACTTCTGGGGCACACATGCACGCACACATCCCTATCAGAGAAGCAAGGGAGACAGGAGAGACATGGAGGGAAGCGAGGCAGGACAGGAAGACAGTGTCACCGCTCAGGCCCTGAAGATCCCCAAAGGCCGCTGCCCTGGGCGCTACAGGAAGGCTGTGGCCTTCAGGACTGGGCCCAGGGGAACCTCTGGGCCCCTGGATGTGGGCTCCACTGGGACTGTAAGGCCCCACCCCTTCCCCCGTTTTGCCGCTGCCAGGCCCCAGGAGCTGAGCACCTCGCTCTGCCGCTCTCCCCCACAGCACGGCCACCTCACTGCGCCCGTGGAGCCCTGACTGTGGCCAGGAGCCTCCAGAGCTTGGCGCCAGCACAGGCCTGTGCCTCAGCCACACGCACACGAGTGCAGAGCGGGCGAGCACAGCAGCCTCCTTGGCCGGAGGGCTCTCCGGGGCTCGCTCTGCTTTCACGAGGCTCACTCAGCCCTCTCTCTCTGGCTGCCCCGGCCTCTGTATCCCGGTAGTGTCCACCTCCTGTTCAAGCCAGTCCGAGCATTTCTAGTGCACCACATCCGAACAGAATGAGACAGTCCTCTGCAGGAACCCTGTTACTATTTGTACACAGCCTTCATAACAGTAAAAGCTGCAAGACACTCTATGTACAAATGTATCTTTTCCAGAAAGCTAACTATAAAACATATTAGTGGCCCAGAGCTTAGGAGTAAAATATTAATCGTGAAATATGCAGTCTAGTCGATTGTTGTTACTCAGCAAGGCACACTGACCTATGCACAATGATATGCTGGAGTAACACTAAAATGAAGCTAAACTGCTAAGAATAAAAGGTTCACTTTACCTGTCTGGTGTCTGTCCCTGGGGCCAAACAACAAAAGCTTCTGGTATTTATCATCAGAGACTCTCACAGCCTAGGTATACAGTAATTCTCCAAACTCTGGAGAAATTCCAAACTTGAGGCAGCAGCCTCTAGACATCATCAGCCCATGGCCTAGAGATGTCAGGGCGTCTTATAAAATGAGCAACTGCAACTATGTACTAACAACGGAGCTTTTAAAAAAATAACTAACAACAGCTATGCAAAGAAATACTGAAGTATGGAGAACTTCAGAGAAAGAATTACACCCCGAATAGGCTGTGTGTGCAGAACACATCTGCCTTCACCCGAGTCAGAGCGGGCAGCGTGGCGTGGTGCGGCTCCCTACATGGCTCTTTTCCATTTTTCCTTATAGTTTCATTTCTGCAAAGTGGACTGGCTACCTGGTTTCTGAAAACTTGTATTACTGTATTATTTTAAAACAAATAGACTTCTAGGATTAAAAAACACATCCTTAGTCTGTCCTACAAGTTTCTAATCCACCAGACAAATTTCACCTTTATTTAACATATAGTACAATTTATATTTCAAAAAGCTTTAAACATAATTTTAGATTCTTTCTCTTGATTCTTAACTCATATTTTAAGACATCTGTAACTCTGTCCCATCCATAAAATTAGAAGGGTGACCAAAGCAAGGAGAAAGCAAATAGTGAGAACAGTAATATGAAACCTCTAAAAATACTTCGTGTTGAGAACATTTAGAAATACGATTTAAAAAAACTGACAGAGTGCTAAGAAATTTTACTCAACATAATATACACAGGATCTGCAAACCAGTGCCATTTACAGCTCTGTCTTTGGGACACAAGGGAAGAGCCCAGCTTCCTGAGACCACAGTGCCCATCAGCCCAAGAGCCACTGCCCCACTGGGCGTGGCCAGCGCTGGGAAGAACAACGGAGATGTCGGACGCTCCTGGGCGGAGAGTGCTCAGGACACTCATAACCCCGCTGGTGGCTGGCAGGACCCGGGTAGCCTTCAGGAAAGACCAGGCTGGGTTAGAGGCTGAGCTTTTCCTCCAGGGAGGGGAAGGGCTGACGGTTAAGTGATTCAATCAATCATGCCTACGCAGTGACGCTTCCATAAAAAGACAAGAGGCCTGGGTGCCAGGACTTCCAGGAGCTGGACATGCAAGGCTCCTGAGGGGTGGTGCTCCCGAGGAGACACGGAGCCCGTGCCTCCCCAAATGCCTACCCTACGCGCCTCTCTATCTGTATCCTCTGCAATATTGTCCATCAGAAGAAGCGCTTCCTGGGGTTCTGTGGGCCGCCCCAGCAAATCCCCTGAACCCAATAGGCGGGGCACAGGAACTCCACTCACAGCCAGCCAGGGCAGCAGGAGCACAGGTCAAAAGAAACAAGGCCTGGGGCTTGTGCCTGCCACCTAAAGTGAGCCATCTTGTGGGACAGAGACCTCCACCCCTGGGATGCGACATGATCTCAGCCAGACAGGGTCAGAACCGAACCGAACGCGTGGACACCCAGCTGGTGCCCCTGCAGAACTGAAAGGTTGGCTGTTGGTGAGCGAAGCCCTCCACTTCCTCATGAGCAATGTCACAGTTCTCCTGCTGACTGCCGTTGGGGGGAAATGGAGCATGCTTCTCTTCTCTGTGCACAGAGACTCCTTTGGATAAGACGAAAGAGATTATTTAAAGTTAGGGAAAAGTTAGAAACTACAAAGGCAGGGCTAGAAAAATGAGGAGGAGTCTGGTGCTACTGCAGAGCAGGGTCCAGCCACAAAGATGGGCCCTGAAGCCCTGAAGAGAGTGGAGCTGCACAGGGCTGCCTTTCCCCTGGGAGAGGAACCAGAGACAGCTGTCTGGACACACTCCAATGCCGAAGTGTGTCGCTGCCTCGCACCACCATAAGCAGTAGACACAGACTGTTTTAAAATGATAGCAAGAAATAAAACTTTACACTATGCTGTGTGTACACGAACAACAAAGTGAAGTTTTTCTGACACCTTTTAAATATGGTATACTCTACTGTTCACCTTTATATTCCTTTTTCATGTATAAAACGTCACTGGAACTAGCCCACTAAATTCACTTTCAGACCCCGCAACGTAACAAAGGCCGTGCGGGTGGTGTCAGTCCTGTCCCTCTCCTGGGAAATCTGATCCCCTCCTGGGCTCTGGCCAGATCTAACCAGCCTGGCATCCTGGCCTCCCTCCTTCAGTCATCGCTGTCCCAGCTGCCATCTCCCACAACACCCCCGAGGACACGCACCGCCACAACTGGCCCAGCACGCCTGACCTGCCCTCCACACCCCAGGCTTCCACCTCCCTCTCCCTGAATGCCGTTCCACCTGTGCAAATCCCTCCAGTTCTCCAAGCTCAAGCTCAAGGGCTCCTCCACACAGAACAGATTCCTCACTCCTCTGGAATTCCAACACTGACCTCCTGCCTCCAGTCTCCCAAGCAGACACATGGGCCCCGCCCCGCTGTAGAGTGCGGTCTGAAAACAGACGCTTCAGGCTGTGTGCTCTTCACCCCGCCTGGACAACTGCATATGCGTCCCCCACGTGGAGAGAAAGCTGCCCACTTGGGACAGGCGGCCCAGAGACCAAGAAAGCCCAGGTCAAGCCCCAAACACCAAGAACCCCTGACCAAACCAGAACCACTACTCCCTTCAGCAGATCCTGCACCTTCAGCCTTTCATGTCAAGTGTGTAACACGCAGCACAGGAGACAATGTGAATGTGTATTTTAACAAGATTCTTCTTTCAATTAAAAAAGTAGCATAACTAGTCTAGTAATTTAGCAGTTACGCTGTGTTTCTTGTTTTAATTTCTTTTACTTGAAATCTGATCTCCCAAATGTGACAAAACTATCTGTAAACCAGATGTGCAGTGCATGGCAAAGCAAACACATCCACCCTCACTCTGGCTCCCTGTGGCCAGCCGCACTGGGCCGCAGCCCCTCAGGCGCCTTTCCCATCTGCCAATCCTTGGGGTGAGCTCTTTCTTCCTGTCTTATTCCAAAGACAAGATCTTCCACATCATCTTCTAATCAAGCATTTTCATTTCACTCTCCCCAATGAAACACTGAAAAGAAATTTCTTAGACCTAAGTCTGAAATAATTAGCATCACAATATCTTAAATCTATATGCAAATGTTGTAAATTGATCTAATAGCTTCCTCCTTGGTTAAATATTATCAAGTAACACTACATACTCAAGCACTCAAGCTAGAAACAACAGACCTTTCAAGTTTGAAATAGGAAACGTGCCTCCCAAGAAAAGAAGGTAATGGGATGACGGCAGACTGGAACTAATCATCTCCAGTTGGAAATCTCATACACACACTCACACTTCTGTATTACGAGGAAGCAGAGAGGAAGAAAAGTCTGAAGATACTCTCAAGGTCAAATAGGTCAAACTGTATAGTGTGGTAAATTGTCAAAAGAAAAACAAAGAAAAAAAAACTCTTAAAATTTTGCTACTCTTCTGGTTTTAGGAATGCTTCTCATCTGAGAAGTAAATCAGGTCAGATATTAACTATCGGTATACAAAATATTTCTATTTTAAAGTCAGAAGGTCAAGGGCAATTAATATCATCCGATAATGTGTTCTTTCCCCTTATATTTTAGGTAAGTAATACATGTTGTTTATGCTCAAATGTCTGTGAATATTTAAAATTTATCTAGTGTCCCCACCATGCTTTCTTTAAGTCTCTAAAACTATTTTCAATGTAGTTGGCTATACCAATGGTGAAATTAGGCAAATTTTAAAACAAGGAGATATCTTAGAAATATTGCTATAAAAATTGAAGGAGAAGGGGCCAGGGATTTAGCTCAGTGGTTCTGCCACCTGCCCCACAAGTGCAAGGACCGAGTTTGATCCCTGGTACAAATTAAAGGATAAGTTAATGATTATTATTAGCTAATTATGTATATTATAACACATCTTATAAACACATACTACAGTACTCTTACCTTAAATAGGTGCCATATATGAAGAATAATGCCATCATCAGTCCATTTAAAATAAAAATCACAGCAACATAAAAGCAAGCAGGGTCTCCCAATCCTTTAAAATAAACAAAACATGTTCTAACTGTAAATGATTTGACATGTCTGGTGCATTCTACCTAACGGTACTTAGTGCGTCAATGAAACTGCTGCCTTGGCTCCTGTGTGAAACAGCCCCAGGCAGACCTGAGAGGAGAAGAGGCGGCCCGGCCGGCGCGAGGGAGTCGCGGAGGGAGTCACGGCAGGGCTGCGTCCTCCGATGCACCCCGGCACCTGTGCCCGGCTCTGAGCCTGGGGGGGCTGCAGCGCAGTGAGGCAGAGCAACCCTGGAGCCGCCGCGGGAAAGCCCGGCCACACTGAGGCCCCCGCCCTGCCAGGAACAGGCCCACAGCGGTGAAAAGGCCGCAGGGACCTGCCGCGGAGCACAGCCACGCAGTGCGGGCGGAGGAAGCTGGGGGAGGCTGCCCTCCAGGGGGCCCTCCCTCCCCTCCAGCCACCTGAGTCCTCCCAGCAGAGGCCGAGGCCCCAGGGACACAAGGAAAGCCTGCTTCAGGTGGCCCCAATTTCAGAAGTGCAGGGCACCGCACGCCCAGACGTTACCGTCTCTCCCACCCGGTTTGGGGCACGCTCATCCACTGCACAGCTATGAGGCAGGGTCACAGAAAGCCACGCACCTTCACAGCTCTCCACAGGACTGAGTCCTTCCCCTCTGGTAACTGTCCAACAGATCTTGCTTTGAACACCAAGGAAGTCCATTGTTTTGATATAAATCCGGTACCAGCTGGACAAGATTACCTATTATTAAGAAAACAGATGCATCGTAAGAAAGATATGCTAAAAAATTTTCATCACTAGAATATTCTGGAGACATTTTCATAATCTTCAAGCTTGCCTTTCCTGTGTCATCCACCTGGCTCCCTTTCTATCTCATTAAATGAGACTCAGCTGCTACATGGATTCTTCACTGGTCACCCGTTGGTAAGAATAAAATAGAGTAAAAATTCCTAAGATGTATGTTTTTCAAAAGCTATGAAACTCTAGGAGAAATAAATGAAGATATGAACAGAGATACTGTGTCTACTTGAAAAGACCTAATTTTTCAAGATACAAATTCACTTTCAAATTAGTTCACAAGCATTAAGCTATCCTAATCAAAATATCAAGTGTCTAAACTTTATCTAGAAAAAAACGGTGATAACTAACTGAAATACAGCCTAGCAAATATTAAAATGAGTTACTTAGAATAATTAAGACTGTGACACCGACCGAGGACTGGGACCCACGGTGGTGAGCAGCGGAGCCCTCCCTGTGGAGGTCCCAGCGCCCCGGGTGACTGCTCCAGGCTAGGGACGGCACCCAGGGCAAGCTGCTTGCAACACGTGCCCAGCAGGTCCACAGAGAGCCGCACAGGCCGTGAGGTGGGGCCTGCTGCCGGGCGGGACAGCTCCACAGCGCCCCAGCATCGGGCCCAGCGGGCTCTGTCGGCCCAGCCTCCCCTCAGTCCACTCCGCGGCCTTCAGACCGCAGTGCGGCCCAAGCTCCTCCCCACACCTCCACAGGCGGACCTCCTCCCCGCGGTCCGTCCACCTCCGGGACTGGACAGCCAGTGACACCGAGCACCGGCCAGCGCGCCAGTGCAGGGCTGTGCGTGAAAAGTCACTCCAGACTGGCAGAGAGGGTGGACCGCTCCTCAGTGTGGGGCTACAAAGAAGGCCACCTTTCTAACATGGGAAGCTTTGATTCCTGTCCCACACTGTGACTGGAACGAATTCCAGGGCCGAGATTAGCTCGGTGGCAATGCACCTACCTCGCAAGCGCAACGTCCTGAGTTCGATCCCTGGTACCCCCAAAATAAATAAATAAATACATGCATACACACATACGAATTCCCAATAAATTTAAAAAGCAAATGTACAAAATTAATTAGGATAAATAATGAAGATTTTTACATATATGCACAAACAAGAAATATAAAAGATTCTCGGATACAATATTTCTATGTACAAAAATATATAGACACAGGCAAACAGCAAACAAGAAACTAAAGAATGTGTTTCAGGGTCACAACATAATATTGACATGCTGGACATAATAAATGAGCTTTTACAAAATTCCCATAGAAATATATACAAAGGACATGAGCAAGTAATTATTTTTAAAAGTGAAAATGCATTATATTTATATAGCACTGAATGTGTGTATATATATGATATATATGTATATGAATGAAAAAATACATTGGGTAATTATAGTTTCTTTATCAAACCCACAAGGGTGCAGATAAACATTTTCAAAGACACTGCTGGTGAAGATTTCCATTAGTGCAACCTACATGGAAGGCATTCTGCCAATGTGTCCAGATCATTAAAGAATGTATTCTGCTAACTGCAACAGATCCACATCACCAAACTTTTAGTTCAAAACAATAAGGATGTGGGTAAGGATTTGGCTTCAAGGAGATTGACTGCAGCTTTACGTGGAATATTTAAGACTGGAAACAATCAGAATTTCCCTAAAGCTGGGCTATTCAGGCAAGGGCACACCACACACACAGCAGAGATGGCCCAGGAAGATGGTCACCAATACTCCTAAATGACAAAGGACCCTAAAAACGGTCTGCACCTTGGGGTGGCACTCCAGTGGCAGCCCTCTGCCTGTGGCTGCACGCAGGGCTCAAACACACGCGTCCGTGAGAGCCCTGAACTTGGGGGCCGGACTCCTCTTGCTAGTGAGTGCCCAGAGGGCAGCTGAGGACACAGCCCAGACTCAAGGCCTGTCACCAGGGTGTCCTCTGGCGCCGCACAACAGGCTGCGTGGGGACACAAGGCAGGGCCTCCCCCAGGCCCAGGCTGAGTCCAATAAACGCAGGAGGGTAGTGCAAGGCCAAAATACACGGCTGGGGTCACAGCCTCCCTCCCTCTGCTCCTGCCCACTGGCCCGAGAAGGCCACTTGGTGAAAGAGGGGCTCAGAGGGCGGGCATGAGGCAGGCGACAACGGCCCTCGTCTGCTGGCCACAAACACATCAGGGCTGGGCAGTGGCCAGGTTTCCAAACAGCGCGACCACAGTCCCAGTGGTTCCCACAGGCTCAGCTAAAGGCTCCACAAGACCCCAAACACTCTGCAGTCCACACCCCTCCCCAAGATACACATTTTCCTTTAAAAAATAAACTGAAACTTAAGATGTTGAATTAGATCTGAGATTTAAAATCAGCACTTAATACAAAAAGTTTTGAAAAAGCAAAACATCACAGTTGGAGAAAATAATTTACCTCAGGGTACAGATTGAACCTTTTCAATGTGTTAATGACTAGGGGGTATTCCGTCAGTTTATCATTCATAATCATCCACAGTCCGTTCAGAAATGAGGGTGCTTCCACAATGGTCTTGAAGTAAGAATAATACAGTCCCTGAAATAAGGATACGCTCCAGTTATAATAAAAGGTACATACCTATGCCTCCACTTAGCTTTTAAAACACTTAAAATACACTTTAAAAAAAAAGAGCACTCAAGCAAGTAATAGCTACAACTAATTTCACAGGTTACTGATCACTGATGAATTCTTAGGCTGCAAAAAAGGCACATATTTTAGAATAACCTTGTCTTAATTGAAATAAATGCAAAATAGCTTCAAATACAGTGTCAACATTTAGAACGCATATATACATAAAATTCAGTATATTTCATCTAAGAAAAGTCCATAACTCATACTAATATGTTAGAAAAGCCTATCTTATGAACAGAGTGGTTTATTATGGAACTAAAATTCACAGTGAACCAAGAAATCTTCCCAAGCCAAAAACACTTCCCCCTAACTGCTTATTTGAATGCAAAAAAATGCCCTCAATCATCTTCAGATTTTTATGCAAGTATGTAAACGTCTTCAAGGTTGCATATTGATGTGTTACACATAAATTTCTTTCAAAAATAATTGTATAGATCATTTCCCCGCAGCTCAGCACGAGACCTGGGACTTGGGGCGGGAGCAGCGCTATTGTGGAGGAGAGGCTGCTGCTCATCCTGACACCAACTCTCGGAAAAGACAAGGGCAGTGGCACCGACAGAGACCATGGAGGTTCGAGCAGCACGGGGAGGAAGTGCAGGGCGGTGGAAGGACAGACAGACAAACAGGACACAAGGGCCACCACCCTGCCAGCCGGGGCCAAACTCTAAGCTGAATTTCAGAATTAAAAATACAAACATGGCTGCCTACCCAGATATTCACTGGAGATAAGGGTCGTGAGATGATGTTCCTCTAGCTCTCATCACTCACCCCTCTACCTGCTGACTTACACTCCCTCCTGCTTTGAGCTGAATCATGTCTGCCAAAATTCCAGGTCCACCGGAACCTGTGAATTCGACCTGATCTGGAATCAGGGCCCTCACAGGTGTGATCAAGTGAAGACGGGGTGAGACAGATTAAGGTGGACCTGAGCCCAGGTTAAGTCCAGATTAAGGTGGACCAGGTCCCACATAAGGAGCCTCATGTGGGGTAGGGAGGGCTGCAGGCAGAGGGGTGGGCAACACAGCCATGGGGCCTAGCACTGGGCAGAGGCAAGGCAGGGTCTCCCCTTCCGCCCTGGGAATGAGACACCCCATCAAAGCCTTCATCCTAGCTCTGACCCTTAACTGGAGAAAATTAACTTCTGCTGTTTTGGGCCTCCTAATCTGGTGAACTTTGTTATGTCAGCCCTGGGAAACTATCAGACTTACCATGTTTTGTAGGTTTGATTTTGTAAACATATAAATGTCATATTTAATAACAAAGCAAAATATTTAAATTATTAAATATTAAAATAAAAATAAAAGCAAGCCCAGTGTGGTGGTGCACACCTGCCATCTGAGGCTAATGCAGGAGGTTCACTGTGTGTTTGAGGCCAGCCTGAACTACAGTGAGACCCAGTCTCAAAAAACCAAAACAAAAAACTGAATTTACCAAGATGGCAGACATCAAGTGACCTTAAAATAAAGCAATTTTACTACACAATCCCAGTGGAATATGTGGTGAGGTCAAAATAAACCACAACAAAACCTTACATTAGTTTTGGTGATTTGATTTTTAATAATCATTCTGGCATTTTTATCCCTAAAAAATAAGTAATTTGAAACCAAGATTCTCCAGACCAAGAAGATATAAATTTTACATCAAGTAAAAAAAAATCCTGAATTCAAATTTTAAAATGGGAATATAAATTCCTGAGTTATTTTCTGTATCAAGAAGCTGTTTCCTAATTCCATTCACTGAAAGGCCTGAGCATCTGCAGACCAGGGCTGCCCGACCCTCTCAGCACGGAGGGCGGTGGGCTGGGACCCGCGGCGGCCAGGCCCTCCCTACCAGACAGCAGCGTGCGCAGGAGGCTGAAAGCCGTCAGATCAGAACCTGTGCCCAAGGAAGGGATGCCACTGGCCACGACTAGAAGGTGCTGGAAACCCAACTCGTGCTTTTAGAAAACGGTAAGGGCAGAGAAGCATGCATGGCCCTGTCCTTCCTTACCTCAGAGAGAAGCCAAACAGGTCCTGTGGGAAAGTCCTTCCTTATAGTTACAGTCAAAGGGCAGGAAAACAATAAGCACCATCCAGCAACCCTAATGGAACTCCTGAGGGCCGGCTCTGCGGAGGGCTCCGCAGGCGCTTCCGAAACCACTGCGCAGCTTACCGTCTCGGAGACAGACAGCCCGGCCTGGTGTGCCGTGGCACAAAGCAAAAAGAGGCCACAGCACCCGCCAGGCAGAGGGGCGCGTGCTTGTAACGCCAGCACTCTGCAAGCCTGAGGCAGGGCGACGCAAGTTCAGGCGCAGCCCCAGCACCAGTGACTTAGGGAGGCCCTATCTGAGAACAATATATTTCAAACAGGGCTGGTCCCAGGCTCAGTTCCAACTATCAAAAAGAAGAGGTGAACGGCTCCACTGAGAAGTATTCCTACCAGAAAAAAAAGAAAAGAAAAGGCAGCTATCAAGATTCTAATGCATCAATTTTCAGGAAACCTGGGACAGAGGAACACCATAAACAACGTGAATTAAGGCCAGTGACGTAGCTCAGCGGTGCAGCGCTCACCTAGCAAGTTGGAGGCCCAGAGGTTAATTCCTGGTACCAAAAAAAGGAAAAAAAAGCCCCTTGAAAAAACAACATGGGGCCGGGGATTTAGCTCAGTGGTGCCGCTGCCTGGCTCGCAAGTGGAAGGTCCCAAGTTTGATTCCCGGTACCAAAAAAACAAAAACAAAACAAAACAAAAAAACAACATGAAGTAGTGTAGACAATTCTATAAGACAAACATCCTGGGTTCCTCAATGAATAGATGGCAGAAAAACAAAACAACAACAAAATGGAAAAAGGGAAGAAATTTACAGATTAGATTTAAGAGATACATCGACTAAATGGATGTGTAGAGTGTTTGGATCCTGATTCAACTATGGGATGTTTTAAAAAGTACTCGTAAGTCACCGAAGCACTGATTTACATTTGGTGACATTAAGAACTTGTTCAGTGTTTAAGTGTGACATGGTCCTGAGACTAACAAGAAAGCAAGCCTTGCCTTCCGAGACACGATGGAAGTGCTCACACATGAAACGGCCCTCTCGTGCACCCCTGGAGAGCAATGGGGCAGTGGCGTTGGGGACAGAGTGCCCTCGGACACTGCTTAAGCTGAAGGGGCGGAGGGGCGTCCACCTTCCACCTTGGAACACCTTTCTAAACTTTTCCACGATAAGAAGCTTAAATTTCCTGGGCTCCTTAAAGTCCTGCAATAAAACACTGCAGGGTAACTAACCATTTCCGTGCGGAAAGCCATCTCCCTTTCCAGCGTGGACAGGTGAGAAAAATGACGGTCATTTTCAAAGAGGTGAGTTATGTGGCTCCTGGGAAACAAAGCAACAAGACTTACACTAAGTCTTACTTGTAAAAGTAACTCTAAAAGCAAAAATAAAAATATCTATTAACTTGTAGATGATACTGTAATAGAACTGGTACAATAGTGTATTTGTTTTCCATTCATTGTTTTAATTTTTATTAAAATCTCTCTCCACAAGAAAACATTCAAGTGAGATTTAAATCAGAACGAGCCAGAACAATGATGCTTTAATAAAATACAATGAAAGTATAGATTAAACTGTAAATGTCATGGGGTTACCATTTCAGAAATGCCTGATTAATGAAATTCATGTCTCCCTATCCAGAATATTTAAAAAATTAATCTTCCTCTCAACATGAACACTATTAATGTTAACTGAAGTAGTTTCAAATATAGCCTTCTTAATAATACCTATTTTTCATTTAAAATTTTACTATTCTAACCCTGATTTATCAATTTAACTACTTTTTCAGACTGTGTTACATGTAATACACATCCATGCTTACTATACTAAAATTATTCCTTTAAATATATAGGAAATAGCTTTGGTAAGTTATAAACATTTGCATAAAATATCTCATTAGAGGAAAAGGTATCTTACCAGTGCAGCACGGCCGCCAAGGCAGCTGGAGGAAAAAAGAAATTTAAATTACCAAGTTAGCATGAAGAAGTATTTTCAACTTACAGAAGCACACTTCAAAGACAAGCTTGCCAGAGGCTGGGATGCGGAAACGTTGGACCAACTGAGGAAAGAATATTGACTTTTGAAAGAAGCCGGGGGCTAAGCCGAAAATATCAGCAGACCGGCTGATGACAGCATCAAGCACTCATCTGCAAGTCCCACTCACTCACCCATTCTGCAAAATCTCTAAGGGCCTATCATTTGCCAAGCACTACAGAGGAATCTTTAGACAAAGGCTACCACAAATAGAATCAAAAAGAGGACCAACTGGTGAGTATCGCTTAGAACACAGGTGGGCAGCCTGGGAGGACAGGCCAAGTGGGTAAGGAATGAGGGAAGTGCAACTTTTTATGAACTACTACAATCTGCATTTATATGATAAACTTAACTCCCGCTTTTATTTTATTTATTTATTTATTTATTTATTTATTTTTGTACTGGGGATCGAACTCCGGTCCTTGTGCTTGCGCAGCAGGCAGCGAAACCACTGAGCTAAATCCCCAGCCAACTTCTGCTTTTAAACAAATACAAAGTGCAAGGAGCAAAGGAGAGAAAAAAGGAAGAAAGAAAAGGTAGGCGATGGAAAAAAACCTAACAAAAACAACTCATAGGAAAATCAAGTTTGGTTTCTGCCCATCTACAAACAACATATTAAGATGAATCCAGAAAATGCCATTCGATTTTCTTGTATCACAAGATACATCTCATTACAAGCTTCTAATTAACTCCTAAGGAATCAAACCATGGAAATGTTCTTAGAAAGGTAAACCAAATGTAAACCACTGCTTTATTTTCAAAGTAGTATTTATGGTTTTTATTTAAAAATTCATTTTGCTTTGCAGATTCTGATAGCTACAAAAGGCAGCTATTCTTTCTAGATCAAAGTCGCAAATACTTTGTCACTTGACTTTTTTATGTTATATTGTGATTCTTTGAAGTTTTCTTTGAAAAAAGTACATCTGCTTACTCCCTTTTTGATTTCTATCTTTAAAGATTTCCCTCACTATAATAAAACTTGGGCTTTATGATTTTCATAATTGAACTTTTATTTTCTGAATAAACCATTTTTCACTGAATGACTGGCTGTAAATGTCTTTAACCTACTAAGAACTTGTCACACAAATACTTCTGCAACCTTTTTGAAATCAGAATTTCATTTATGAATTTAGGAAGAATCTACATGAAACAGAGATATTGTAACCACAAACATGGTATATACCTTCAATTATCTGAACTGCTTTTCAATTGTCCTTGGGAAAATGCCTATCAGCATACTTAAAACAGTGCTTATCCAGAAGTGTTTCAAATTTTGAATTGGTTTAGATTTTTGTATATTTGCACATATATAATGAGATGCCTAGAAAAGGGCCCTGTGTCTAACAGGAAATGCACGAAGGTTCCCACGCGTCGCAGAGATGCCAAGGGAGAACATGCGCGGTATCTCGGGGACCCCCAAGCAGGGCCAGTGAGGGCTCCTCCCTCACGACATCACTTCAGCACTCAGACTGTTCAGATGCTGAACCACCTCCCATTCCCGCTTAGAGACACTAGATAGATACACGTGATCTATTTTAACAATTTCTCTGCTAATATCCGTGAACTTTTTGTTTTTATACATTATTGGATATTACTGTTAATATATCTTTGAAGAGTATGTATTTTGTAATATATTTATATTTGGCTCGTATACTAAATTTTTTTCCCAGTACCGGGGATCAAACTCAGGACCTTGTGCTTGCCAGGCAGGCGCAGAACCAGTAGCCACATCCTGGCCCTCGTGTACTAAATCATTAACTCAAATAGTTTATCCTCAATTCTTCATTTGAAAGCATTAGTAAATCATAATCCTGCTTCTGGCTCCTGTTCGTCCCATTTGACGATGATGATGATGGTGGTACTAAAGTTCTAGAATACTACGAGCTCCGGTGAGCAAGGACACTGAACAGCAACCCACTTCATGCCACGCCAGAGTCAGCCTTTGACTTCACAAGTCCAGGCGACAGCTGGGGTCTGTCAAGGCAATCAGGTGTCCTCGAGTCTCTCAGAGACAGACTGATGTTGCTAGGCGGCTTTGGAGCCTGAAGCTCCTCTAAGTGGTCTCCTTCAGCACCAGTATTCTCAAGATTCCTTGGAGCTCCCGGCCCGGGAATCGCACCTCCTCAGTCTCCAGGCTCCGTTCAGAATGTGCTCCGGTTGTGAATCCCTGCGCACCTTTCGGGGCAGTGACCCTGGTTACTCTGAACGTTTACTGCATAGCCAGCACTTGGTCAATGCTGTACCTGCCCCACTGAGCAGAACTCCACAGCTGTCCTGCGTGAACGGGGTGGTGGCGGAGGGGTCACCAGTATTCAGTCACTGGCTCCAGGGTGCACAGCAGGTAACCCCAGGAACTGTCCTGAGCGCTGCACTGGGGCCGACACATGGCCTCTGCCACTTACATGAGCGACTCAAAGTGTAAATAATTTCAACAGCAAGATAAGAGAGGGACAACAGGAAACGGAGGGCTAGATCACTTACAAGTGGGAAGGGGGCCAGAGACAGAGCAGGAGGGCAGAAGGGGAGGGAAAGAGAACTAAAGGAGTCAAGCCGTGTGCAGGCGCATATCCCCACCCGGCGAGGCAGGCGTCAGGAGTGCGCACCGCGCACCTGCACTAGCAAGACACGGCGACTGTCACGCTCGCGCAGCCCGCAGCCTAGGCTTAAACAATCCTCAGAAAAAAGAAGCGGGTGGAAGGAGGAGCCTCCTGGCCCCAAGGTATTCCAACTCCTCCTCTACCTTAAACGTAAAAGAAAAGCTGCAATGCATCCACTGATACAGGCAGTGGATGCCACAGAGGCTATTAATTCTTACATGAAAGAATGATGATAAACGATTAAGAACTGAAGTGCATTGTGTTGATATGTGTCATGTGAAAACTGAAATTTCCAGGAAAACACTGTTTTATGACCATGAAATTTAAGAATAAAATTATAAAGTGACAAAGACATCTGAAAGCATTCCTAGAGCTTTTCTTGCCTTCAAGAAAGAATATTTTAAATTACTTTCTCTAAATTTATCCTAGTAATTTTCCACCCTTTCTATATTTGGGGCAAGTATAACAAAACAGCTAATCCATTTTTTCACATTAACACCCATGCCCTATTTTGGTATTCTAAGGAAATGAAGTCAAGTATTTTTTTATTTAAAAAATAAAACATTTTTTTTACAAGTGTAAATTTCAAAAAAATTCAAACTTGTTCAGTAAGAAAAAGGAATTCAAAGGAAGATTTGCTATGTAATATAATTCAAAGGATCACATTCCGTATGCCTGAGAATTCTGAAAGGCTCTTATAATTTTGGAAGCATATGAACTGCCTATACTCTCAACCTGAATTAGGCATCCTACTGCACTGGCTCTTTCCAACTAAAGAAACTGCACAGAGTGTATGTCACCGTTCATGGATTTGCAGAGATTTTAGAGGACTTGTCACTGAGTATTACTCTCGTTAGAGTCTTGTTTAAACAAAATTCCAGTCTATGAAAACCAAACCCTAACTCCCAGGAGAAACAGCTTCCCTGAGCTTGACTCCAGTGGCTGTTAGTGCACACACAGCCAGGCCTCGTGGGTGGCGTTGCTGAGACAATGTGCCCTGCTTGGTACAGTGGAGAAGGAGAAATCATCCTGAGGATGGAATCACCCTGAATAACGGTCACATAATAAACTTAAGTGGGAGAGAAGCTCAGCCTGTCCCAGCACCCAGAAGGAAGCTCCCCGCCTCCGTCCCAGGCTTCTAGGGCAGAGAAGGTGAGCCAGTCCCAGCAACCAGAAGGAAGCTCCCCCGCTGCCATTCCAAGCCCCTAGGGCAGAGAAGGTGAGGCACGTGGACTCCAGAAGCAACCAACCCCCCACAGCCACCCGCCCCACCCCCGCACCATGGAAATAAGAAGACACGTAAACAAGTCTCAGAAACAGACTTCTGGATCACCTACAGCAACCCCAAAGGGAAATGAGATGGAACAATCTGATACTCAACCACCTGGACTCTCTGAACTGGCAACAAAAGAG